TCAAACTAGCAGTCTTGAGTGCCTAAAACATACAGCTCGCAAGAGCTCATCTTAACTAGAGGTAAAATTTTGCTTGAGCCTTGTTACAATACAAACATGTGATCTAAAAATGTGCCCAATTAATCCATTACTATGTGGACATGAGTCATTTTACCATATTAGTTAGCCAAAGGGCAGGGCAAGGAATAAGGAAATGAAACACCCCGGGAAAATGGAAATGCCCAGGTTTATGGTGTTAGTCACTCCAAGGTACTTACTTAGCCTCCTGCATGACAGATTTGCAGATTAGCTGCTGCTAAGAGATCCCACTCTAGGCAGGAATGAAAAAAGGATGGCAGGATCCCTTGGAGGCAATACAGCTCCTAGGGCCGGGAAGAGAGCACCAAGGCAACTTCTCAGAATTATCCAACAAGAACCAGATCACGGCCTAAGTATGTCCTCTGCCATGAAATACTCTGGTGGAAGGAACACTCCTGGCTCCTGTGGGAGAGGCTAGAAATAAACCCTGACAATGGGGGGAATAAGCAGAGCTCATTCAGCCATGGGGCACTTGGGCATTTGCCTGTTAGATTATTGGGTAAGTTGTTCTGTGTAACTTGTTTAGGTTTTGGGTAAATGACATATATCTTCTACTTCACAAATACATCCTTATTTATGCGAATACTGTTGGATTCTGCTTCAATAGGATCTTTTCTCTAATTCCTCAAAAGATATTTTTTCCTTATTCTAAGAATTTCCAAATCCCTTGCCTCTACTTTGGAGATTGCATTTGATTATCACTGGCTGATATTTTTGAAACAAGACAATGCATGGCAAATGAAGTTCTACTAGTTGTTTAACCCCACTAGACAATGAAGATTGTAGCTAGGAATGGCTGTGTAATGGATTCCTTACCAATGACACATAAGATGTAGTTTGTGGAGGGGGATTCTGAAAAAGCTTTCACTCTTCCTTATACTTGTATCTCAGATATGGATGGAATGCCTAGACTAGTGGGAGTCAAGTTTGCAAACAGAAGCAACAGATATGAGAACAAAAGCCAACACAGCAATTGTGGTTGAGAAGATAGATAAAACAAGCCTGGGCTTTTGGTGACATTATTGAGCTGCTACATACCTATTTCATGTTTGTCTTCCTCTAGACTTTTAATTCTCTAAGATGATTAAATGACTATATTATATAAGTAATAGCATGTCAGGGTTTTTTTGTTTACTCATGGTCAATAGTAGCTTATTCATATAGTTCCTTACCACTTTTAAGCCTATAATGATCTGAACATCAAGTCAATGCTCTGGCCCAAATTTCCTTCCATCAGTTATCTAAAGCAGAACTGTGCAGCAGAACAGTGATGAAGAAAGTATGCATGCAGAGCATGTATGTTTGTGTGATGACGGAGTATGTATCAAAATATATCACCATAGATGAAATGGAATATACAGTCATGTACTGCAGAACAACGTGTCAATCAATGATGAACTACATACTCAGAATATGATGGTGGCCCTGAAAGACTGTAATGGGGCTGAAAAATTCCAAAAGCGCCCCGATAGAACATCACAAAGCAATTACTCGTGTGTTTGTGGTGATGGTGGTGTAAGCAAACCTACTGTGCTATCAGTAACATAAAAGTACAGCACATATAATTATGCACAGTGCCTAACAGTTGATAATGATAAAAGTGATATGTTATGGTTTACATATTTAATATGCTGTACTTTTAATTGCTTTTTAGAGTATAATTATTCTGCTTTAAAAAAAGTTAACTGTAAAACAGCCTCATGCGAGTCCTTCAGGAGGTATTAGAGAAGAAGGCTTTGTTATCATAGGAGATGACAGCGCTACATCAGCTCCCTGAAGATCTTCCAGTGGGACAAGATGCGGAAGTGAAAGACAGTGGTACTGATGACTCTGACCTGTGTAGGTCTAGGCTGGTGGGCATATCTGCATCTTAGTTTGTTTTTTTTTTTTTTAAAGTTTAAAAAGTAAAAAAAAAAAATTAAATAGGAAAGAAGGTTATAGAATAAGGGTATAAATAAAGAAAATACTGGCTGGGCACCGTGGCTCACGCCTGTAATCCTAGCACTTGGAAGGCCAATATGGATAGACTGCCTGAGCCCAAGAGCTCAAGACCAGCCTGAGAAATAGCAAGACCCCGTCTCTACTAAAAAAAAAAATAGCCAACAACTGTGGTGGGTGCCTACAGTCCCAGCTACTCCAGGGGCTGAGGCAAGAGGATTGCTTGAGCTTGAGAGTTTGAGGTTGCTGTGAGTTATGACACTACAGCACTCTACCCAGGGTGACAGAGTGAGACTCTGTCTCAAATAAAATATTTTCATACAGAAGTACAATGTTTTTTACATTATAAGTATAAAGTTTTGTTATTGCAAAAGAGTTAAAATGTTAATAAAATTAAACAGTTTACAAATTAAAAAAGTTACACTAAGCTAAGATTAATTTATTACTGGAGAAAAAAGTTTGAGTAGATGTAATGTAGCCTAAGTAGTGTAGCCTAAGTTTCCAGTGTTTCCAAGTCTACAGCAGTGTAATGTCCTAGGCCTTCACATTCACTCATACACTGCCTCACCCAGAGCAATGTGAAGTCCTACAAGCTTCATTCATGCTAATTGCCCCATATAGGTGTACATTTTTTTTAAATCTTTGATATCATATTTTTTAAATGTATCTTTTTATTTTCTTTTTTGAGACAGAGTCTCACTTGGTTGCCCCAAGCTAGAGTGCTATGGTGTCAGCTCACAATAGCCTCAATAGCCTCAATAGCCTCAAACTCCTGGGTTCAAGTGATCTTTCTGTCTTAGCCTCCTGAGTAGCTGGGACTATAGGCATTAATCACAATACCTGGCTAATTTTTCTATTTTTAATAGGGACAGGGTCTCAGTTTTTTTACAGGCAGTCTCAAATTCCTGAGCTCAAATGAGCCTCCCACCTCAGCTTCCCAGAGTGCCAGGATTACAGGTATGAACTATCATGCTCAGTCTTAATCATATCTTTTCTATGTTTAGATATACAAAAGTATTGTACATATTCAGATATACAAAATACTTAACCATGTGTTACAACTGCCTACAGTATTCAGTACAGTAACATGTTCATGCTGGAGAGGCTTGAGGCGTAGAAGCAAGAGAATATGCAATATAGGTAGGTGTGTGATAGGCTATAACATCTAGGTTTGTGTCAGTATATTCTACGATGATGTTTCCATGATGACAAAATGGTCGCCTGATGCATTTCTCAGGCTATATCCCCATCCATCATTAAGCAATGCATGACTCTACAGAATATGTGGCCACTGAACACTTACAATGTGGCTAGTGTAACCGAGAAAATGAATTTTTAATTTTATGTTGCTTTCTTTAACTTAAATGGAAATGGCCACATGTAGTTACTGGCTATCACTTCAAATAGTAGAGACCTAAAGAATGCCGAAATATTAACATTCTTGTAGTTCCCTTGGAAAAAATTTAGTTTCTAACTTCATATATGCTATTTTAATAGGTCCAAGAACACCTCATTATAGAAAAATGGTGACTCAGCAGAGCTTTCCAGAGTGTCATGTTTGAAAGCTGTTAAACAAAATTTAAATGGAATATTAGCTAAGTACGCAGAACTGATACCAATTTAAGCATTTTACATTGACAACTATAATAAAGGAATTATAATGTTATTCAGATTACACTCATTCAGTGTTTGTTAAGACTTTTGTATTCCCAATTACAAATGAAAAGGATAATAATGGTGTACCAGTCTCATTAAGCTGTGGGGGTACAACAACTCTCTGAGACAAACTAAATTACAGTTTGCAGAAGATTGCCAGAAAATCAGCTGCAAAGTGTATCAACATGGTATAAAGAGTGGTGAGAAATTGGGAGTTGGCAGCTAAAATTGCTCCAAGTGCAAGGACAGGAGTGATGGACGCCGATTATACTAGACAGCAGCAATCTGTGGGGCTGCCATACTCTAGAATATGGTATCTGATGCTACCTCCATACCCAAATGAGACTTGGAGAAATAATCCCATCATGCCTTGGTGTCTCGTGTAAAACTAAATCCCTGGGCAACCTGCTCAGAAGCCCCTCTGCTAAAGCTGGAGACTTTGCTTTTCTCTTTTTTTTTTCCTTCTCTAAAACAATTCTTTCTTCTCTAAATAAATTCTCTTGCTTTTGCTTAAAACAAAACAAAACAAGAAAAAAGAAACCCTAAATAACCAGCATGCTCATATTTACAGTCATTTTTAGAGTCGAAGGAACAACTAATATTTCAGCTGCTAAAGGTATCACCTCTTCTATCTCCAAAGAGGGATGATGGTCACAGACAACTCCTGTCACTGGTTATCTCTGAAAATTGGCTAGAAAAACAGGTCAGAAAAGTCCTTTGTGTTGGAAACTAGAACTCCTTCAGCCTGGTGTTAGGAGCAGTCTTAAGAAGTAGCTGACAAGCTGAACACATTTCTGAGACCGAACTATCTATATGCAGGGTTCTAACAGAAATGATGAAGGAAAAAAGTTGAAGATCTTGGCAAACCATAGTTTCTTATTCCCCTTTATTGCATGTAAGACATTTAATTTAAAAATATTCAATTTAAGAACACCACCATCCCACATTTCTAACCAATAGGAGTTTGAACCAGGTACTTCTAGAGAAAATTACAGAAACTAGATCAATTCAAAGATGATTTTGTCCTCAGAGAAAAGCTTATTCCATTCAGTATAACTTCCATTTCGGATTGATGTACTTCTGGCGAGACATCAGAAATACTGACATCTCATCACTTTACACTGCATTCCTTTGCAAACACCTACGTTTTCTTCCTAAGTGCTGTTGGGCTCACTTATTTTATGGTGGCGTCCGATGTCTAAGAAGATAAACGTTACGCGTGAGCGGTTAAGACTCAGTCCCCACAGAGGCAGGAAGGAGCTCTGTGGGAAAGAAGGCTGCGTGCAGAAAACTCTCAGGAAAAGATGTATTAAGACATGGATTTTTACCTATGATGTGGCTCTGAAATGCAGAATCTGCGATCCTATCTTCTTCATCCTCTTCCAAGTTTTCATTAGCCTCTTTTGTCTGCAGCAACAAGAAGATAACAGAAGTTCTTATTTATTACATTAGACAGATCTTTGGTAATCCTCATTATAATGGTATAATAGTATGTTCTATAATAAATGTGTGGGAGAGTGTACCTGTATATAGATACGTGACAGAATATACGTATACATATATGTATTTTCTCATTCTACTTTCCCCAAATCCATCATTTAGCTTTATTATAAGTTTTAATTATAAGAGCATATTTTAAAAAATATAACCACAGTTCTAAAAGAGAGGATTTATAGGGCACCTAATTCTACACAAGATTTTAGAGATAAAAGCTTTGGTTTTTAATACTTAGTCAAGTCAGTAATATAGGGCTGCTACAAAAAATTAAAGTCTAAGGAGGTATAAT